TGAGTGCCCATCCCTGGAGGTATTTAAAAGACGTGTAGATGAGGCACTTAGGGACATGGTTTAGTGGGCATGGTGGTGTTGGGCTGACGGTTGGACTCGATGATCTTAGAGGTCTTTTCCAACCTCAATGATTCTATGATTCTATGATTCTATGAACCATTTCCTATTTTAAGTAATTAGAAAAAACTAGAAATGTTTTCTGTAGTCAACAGTATGTCACATCCACTGGTAGCAGATACCCCTGAATGGAACAATTAATAGTACTAACATCAGGGGTCAATTCCCATGTCTTCAAGCATTCAGCAAGCACACAACCACATCACTCAGTGACATAAAATCAAACATTCATTTAGTGAGCAGGATGGCTGTTGGGGATGGATAGGAAGTTCTTTTCAACACACAAGCACACGCACGCTCATGCCTGTTCATATTAGGATTATAGGATAATTCAGGTTGGGACCTCAGGGCATCTGAGTCCAACTGCCTGCTCCAAGCAGGGCCACCTGTGAGGTCAGACCAGGATGCTCAGGGCTTTGTCCACCTCGGTCTTGAAAACCTCTGAAGATCCAAAGATGGAGACTATGCAACCTCTCTGGGCAACCTGCTCCACTGCCTTCCTGTCCTCATGGGGAAAAGGCTTTTCTCCTTATAACCAGTCTGAACCTCTCTGGTTTCAGTCTAAGGCATACGCTCCAGTGCCCGTACCATCTTGGTGACCATTTGCTGAACTTTCCTGGTTTTTGATGTCTTTCTTGTATTATGGGCCCCAAACTAGATGTAGTATCTAGATGAGGTCTAATGAGTGCTGAGTAGAGGAGCATAATCACTTCCCTTGATGTGGGTTGTGATGGGTTGTGCCCCCATTAATACAGGCCAGGATGCTGCTGGCTTTCTTTGCTGTCAGAGCACACTGCTGGCTTATGTTCAGCTCGCTGTCCCCCAGAACCCCCAGTGCCTTTTCTCCATAGCTGCTCCCCAATCCTCAATCCTCAACTTGTATCGCTGCCTAGGGACTCTTACATCCCAGGGGCAGGACTTTGCATTTGTCCTTGTTGAATTTCATTATGTCAGCCCATTCCACCAGCTTTTCTATTTCTTTGAATGACAGTAGAGGAGCATAATCACTTCCCTTGATGTGGGTTGTGATGGGTTGTGCCCCCATTAATACAGGCCAGGATGCTGCTGGCTTTCTTTGCTGTCAGAGCACACTGCTGGCTTATGTTCAGCTCGCTGTCCCCCAGAACCCCCAGTGCCTTTTCTCCATAGCTGCTCCCCAATCCTCAATCCTCAACTTGTATCGCTGCCTAGGGACTCTTACATCCCAGGGGCAGGACTTTGCATTTGTCCTTGTTGAATTTCATTATGTCAGCCCATTCCACCAGCTTTTCTATTTCTTTCTGAATGACAGTGCTGCCCTCAAGAATATCGACTAGTTCCTGTGCTTATTAATTTGAGTATGTCTCCCTGTTAGACATGAGTTAATACCAATACTCTTTCAAATGAGTCACTGGCCTTGTACAGTGGAATTAAAACTTTTTTGACTCTGTTGAACATACCTCACTTTATCTATCCTAAAAACATATTTACCGTTTGTGTTTACATCATATTCTTATCCTTATGACTGACCACTACAACCTGGATTTTTTAACTCTTTCATTTCCATCTGTGAACTCCTAACTTAACTCAGACATTCCTGTTACCCTTAATAACCCTTTACATATGACTTGACTCATTGTTCCAGTTTTGAAGAAGGGTAAGAAGGAAGACCGTGGTAATTACAATCTCACTTCAGTGCCTGGTAAAATTATGGAGAAGGTTATTCTGGGAGTTACTGAAAAACACTTGAGAGACAACACAGTCAATGGTCATAGCCAGCATGGGTTCACGAGGGGAAAGTCCTGCTTAACCAACTTAATTTCCTTTTATGACAAGGTCACCCA